TACCGCGTTTTAATTTAAAATGGTGTGATAGTACTTGTTGACGTATATGCCATGTTTATAAGAGGGTAGTAATCGCACAATCTAGTAAGTTGGCATACAAGATTTATATGTTAGGATTGTGTTAGAAATTACACTTGATTTAGCTGAAATGTAGCTTGTTTCGCGGTGACATGGCTTTTGTTATTAATACAATAAAATAAAATATTTTATTTAAAAAAAAACACCAAAAAACAAAAAGGAGACGTATCTTATATATAGTAGTATAAATGAGAGTGAGCAAATACCCCATGGTGTATTATCCTTCAAATCGGCCATTGCTTATGTGCCAAAATTTTATTTCCACCAGGATGGTTTATTGAAGTCATACGACTCCCATTTAAACATACAATATTGGTTTGAATTATCTCTGTATATAAAGAATATATCTGTATAATCTGTATTTTAAAGAATAATAATTTTCTTTTAACCATTCAAATTAAGCTCACAAAATGTGATGGTATTCCGAGTTACGAGAAAACATAACCATAAAATAACTCAATAATACAACTCGTTATGCGTTGTCTGGTACAGATGTCCAATACAACTCGTTATGCGTTGTCTGGTACAGATGTCCAATACAACTCGTTATGCGTTGTCTGGTACAGATGTCCAATACAACTCGTTATGCGTTGTCTGGTACAGATGTCCAATACAACTCGTTATGCGTTGTCTGGTACAGATGTCCAATACAACTCGTTATGCGTTGTCTGGTACAGATGTCCAATACAACTCGTTATGCGTTGTCTGGTACAGATGTCCAATACAACTCGTTATGCGTTGTCTGGTACAGATGTCCAATACAACTCGTTATGCGTTGTCTGGTACAGATGTCCAATACAACTCGTTATGCGTTGTCTGGTACAGATGTCCAATACAACTCGTTATGCGTTGTCTGGTACAGATGTCCAATACAACTCGTTATGCGTTGTCTGGTACGGACGTTCAATACAACTATCTACGCGTTGTACCTTACCAATTGATGGTAGTTAATGAATGGAAACTGCATTGATGGGTTGATATGATAAAGAATGTTGCTTCCACGTTCTACGTGTAGACAGATCTGACACAGTGACTCGTGGTTAAAACTTGAAACACTATTTTTGACGAAGTGGAAAAATATGATTCAACAAGCGATTCGTTTCAAAAAACAGTGTACACATGACGATAATATGACAAATCTTACACAGCAGTAAAATTTAAATCGCCCGTAAAAAAACAAAAACATTTCATTTGCAATTCCGAAAATTTACGATACGTGTGAAATCGCCGTACAAGTTCAATACATGTTGTGATGTAGTGCACAAATATTTTTCTAAACTGTATTATTTTCTGTGATACCATGCTGTGAGAAACGAATGAAGTCACAGAAAATAAGTCACAAAGCGTTTGTCTATGTGTTATTAAAATTATTCGTATTTTGCTTAAGTTTTAAAAACGTATTTATCTAGAATAAGATGTGATGTAATTTATTTGAAATTCAGGCGTTGAAAACTATAATTGATTTTTGTGTTTAGAAAGTACAGCAAAAATCATCAAATTCGATTGGCAACTAATTTTAGGGCTAAGGCACCTATCTACCTCAAGGTAGCAATGAGAATAAATAATTGTTTTAATTGCATACATTCTCGATCTACTGAATCAATAATTCATTCTGGAGATCCAGAGCATCTTGGTCTCGTACACCCCTAAAAACAAGGGCACAGTTATAATCCGCCACAAGAGGGCGTGATGAAAGACGATTCTATAATTGCTGTTTGACAATGAAACTTATACCGACATCTTAGTTGATTATTGCAATCAAACATTTTTCGCCATCTGTTGATACATTTTGTAAGTAAATTAACATTTGTTTCAATTATATGGCTTTACAGAAAAGCTTGTATTATATAAAGGATGACAGGTTAATTGTTTCATACTTCATTAAAAATGTACTGATAAATCGATGCTATTACCAAGATTAAATGCAAAACAAATGGCTTTATATTTTATTGGGAACAAATTAAGAATGTACATAAATTTTAATATCCTATTTCAGATGTTAATGAACGAACAAGGATATTAGGCTAGTTAGTGACAAATGTTTAATTATCACAAGCAGAAGAATCATGGTCTAGCAATATACACATGGCCCATTAAAAATGAAATGCAATTGATTTGAACTACTGGCATTTCATTTTTTTTTCTATCATTCGGTGTGCTTTAATATTTACGTGCCCAACATCACGCAAGACTGAAGCTTGCTAACATTCGGCCATGCTCATGAATCTTTAGTTCTAACAATTTCAGTTTTCAAAACTAGTTCTGAGTAAAAATACAAAACAAATACAATTGTCCAAATATACTGGGTAGTTGAACAGGGCAAGGCATGATGTTGAAAATTATTGTACGTCTTGTTCATCCAATTTCTAGCAGTTACACGAGAAATATCTCTAATTTAATTGGATACGAGTAATCATTTTCAGCAAAAAAAAACCCAATAACTGCCCATTTCAGTGGGACACCGATCTAAAATGGGAAAGGTGTGGGAGGGCATTGCACTGGCACTTTAAAGTAATAAATGCACCATTGTAAATTTCAATCTAACTGCAAGTCTAATTTTGTTTAACGTACATACCAAAGTTGAACAAGTCATTGTCAATGACACGTCCCCGTTCAGTTCATATTTGAGTGACATATACATTCAAAGCAGATCATGACCGAAATGCACCTGCATACATACAACACATTGTGCTAAATCTGAAC